GTGGGTTATCAAAAGAACTTTCCATTAGTGTGTTGTGGGGTATCAAAAGAACTTTGAGAGAGAGAGATGGGGAATGCCATTGGAGACTGTTAGGCTGGGTAGGAGGCATGGTTTCATGAGCATCACTGTGGCTTCTGAGTTGAGGCTGCAAGGAGGACTGATGAGGAGGCATTTGCAGTAACTTAGGCTAGAGAAAATGGACCAGAGTGGGAGAAGCAGTTGAATTCAGGTTATATTTTAAAGATAGATTTGAAAAAATTGGTGGTGGACCAGATAAGAGATGAGAGAAGAGGATGGTCAAGGGTTATATAATAGCCAGGACAGACCAAGCTAAGCTGCATTAACCATCAGTTGTGAAGTCTCAGTGGCTGACAATAAGAGTGGCTCGTTTCTCACACGATGTCAAATATCTTGTGTGTGTGGGCCATTGCACCAGTTCCACATTATCTTCACTCCATGGCCCAGGCTGATGGTGCAGCCTCTGGAATGTTGCCAGTCACATGGGCAGAGGGGAGGAGGGCATGGCACACTCTTTCTTGATGTTCCCACCCAGAATGGGCATATATGTTATTGCTCAAAGTGAGTCATGGCTGTCTGAGTCCACGGGGGCAGAGATGTAGAATCGGGGGAGGAACAGCCAGTAAGCCAGGCTTGGCAGCCACCAAGCCTGTTGGCCTGAGGAACCAGAGCAACAAAGATGGGAAGACTGCAAGTGGATTCGAAGGTCCAGCTGGACTATTAGACATCCAAGTGGAGATGTCAAGGAGGCAGTTGGAGAAGGAGGAACCTGGGGAGAGGTCTGGTCTGGAGAGACAAATGCTGTGGTTATCAGTGTGACACTGGACTGGAACACAGGCTGATGAGAATAAATAGAGGAGAAATCTGGTGACACACAGTCCATGGGTGTTCTGACATTTGGTTTGTTTTGTCTTCCATCAGCTCTTGTATCAAATATTTGCTGATGGATGATAACAAAAATAAGGGTATGTTTTACATTCTTGAGTATTTTCCTCTACTGTAGAAATAATTCTAAGATTCTTGGTCACCTTATTGAGGCGGTGTTAAGTTGTGCTTCTCCATAGGGTTCTGAGTTACTTTGGTCAGTCATCCCTGTCTGTGCTATAAACTGTGAAGTACTCCAATGGACAAGGAGTCCTGGTAGTTCAGTGGTTAACTGCTTAGTTGCTAACTTGAAAAGTAGGCAGTTCAAATGTACCCAGTGGCTCTGAAGGGACAAAGACCTGATGACCTGCTCCCGTAAAGATCACTAGAAAACCAGGCTATAAAACCAGATGGGGTGTTTCTACTCTGCAATATGAGGTCACTATGAGTTGAAATAGACTTGACAGCACCTAATGACAACACTGCCACCACCCAGTGGGCAGTTGTGTCCCAGGACCCTCCTTTGTCTCAGTATTCTCCATGGGGGCCATCTCTGTTGATGATGTGAGACTTTCCAGCCCCAGAATAAGACTAATTCATTCGACTGACAAGTACGCTAGACAGTTGTGTAGGAACCAGTTAGAATATGCAGCTGACGTTCCAGTGGGAGGAAATGCTACTTCCTAAGGACAGATGTGCTCAGTAACATGTTTTCTAAAACAATTGTTATTTCCCTTTCTAAACCTTAAGAAGGTGCTGTTGGCTTCAGCGTGATCTTAGGATATTTAGTGATACTGGACATTATTGAGGTACTTCTGGTTTTGTTTTAGTCTACATCTTTGTGACGTCTTTGCCACATGGCATCAAATTCCTTTGGGGCTTCGATATTCTAGTTCTCTTCAGGTTCTTGGAGACCTTGTTAGATGCTACAAATTGTTGGGGATTCAGTTTCTACGGTTCATATATCTAAGGATTCAAGGACCTGTGTTCAGTTACAGTAAAATCTGCTGGTTCATGGGAGAATGATTTTGTGCCAGGCGAATAGATTTTGGGCTGTTATGTTGCTACAGCCCATCACAGTTTCTTGAACATTTACCTCGGCTTTCAGGGCTTTTCTTTGACAGTAAAGGTATTCATATCTATTTCTAACATGTCTGTTTCCTTGGTTTCTTGATTCAAACGTTCTTGGTTTCTTTTCATGCTACTGGTGTCATTTCTTCATTGCCTTTTGCAAAAAGGGCATGGAATCGGTATCTTCTGACCTCCTTTAATGTCACAAGAAGAAGACAGAATTGCCATCAGCAGCCTAAGTCTTATGAGTCCAGACAGGCCACCACCCTCCAGCCTTTGTGCCAACTCTGATGTGAACCATCTCTCCCACAGCACTCCTCCTCTGCTGGGTTTGATAATTCATTGAAATGGGCACACAGAACTCACAGACAATACTCATGATTATGGGGTTTATTAGGGAAGTAACAGGCTACAATTCAGATTCAGGAACACGCTCAGGATACAGTTCTTCCATCAGGACAGTCTCCCCTCAGCTATGCCCTCAGGCACACCTCTCTGCCCCTTGCCTCTCAGTCTGGCCTCTGCCCTGCTCGGGTGAGTATTATAAAGCTCTTTTAGCTCTCCTGATAGGCATGCCTAGGTGCAGCCCACTCTGCCAGCAAGCCTCCTGCCCAAGGACACTCAGCTTTCTCTCTCCGTGGGCTGGCAAGCCTGCTGCTCTGTCTCGTGTCTCTTGCTTGTCTCTGCTGGCTGGCCGGCCATCTTTCTGCCGAGGATGTCCAGTGCAGGGATCCCCGGTCCAAGGATGTGCTTCAATCCACTCTGGCTCTTCTTTCTTGATGGCAGTGATATCCCCCTTCTGCCTGTATGAGGGTTCACTTTAAGCCTAGCTGAATAACGAAACTAACCAATCCCCACGTTGGAGTTCAGTACACCTTATTTGTGTGGTTCCACACCCACAAGGTGCCAGATTATTTACGTTACTCACAAGCTATCCAATTTCCTTATGTTTGTATAGCCCCACCCAGTCATCTGGTGGGAGTCAAAGACCATGGCTAGAAGTGCCATCCAAGTAATTCATTGCGCCACACTTTCTTACAATTTCTTTTTGACGACACAATGCATAGGTTACCTGTTGTTATGTAACAGACCACCCACAACAGAGAGGCTTACAGCAAAACAGTCAGGTGTTTGCTCCTGACTCTGAAATTTGAGCAGGCTTATCCTGGCTTCCCTGTAGTGTCTGCCTGAGGAAGCTCTACTGGGACCGGAGTCCCAAGAGGCTTCACTCCTCTCTGTCTGATGCCTTGGCAAGCGTGACCAGGCCAGCTATGGGCTGACTAGGCTGTGGCTTCTCTCTTCACTGTCTCTCATCCTCCAGGGCCCCTCTTACCAAGTGACCACTCTGTCTAGTAGGGTAGCTGAACTTTACATGGTGGCTGCCTCCCAAGAGAGCAAAGGTGGAAGCTTCCAGGTATCTTGAGGGCCAGTCCCAGACCTCACACAGCACCACTTCTGCCACATCCCACCTGCTCAAGGTGGGGAGGACGTGGACGTGCAGGTGTGGGAGGGCTTGTCAGAGGCCAACTTCACGGTCCTGGCCTGTCTCTCAGCTCTCTGTTAGAGCCATAGCTAAGAAGTCATCTTAGATTTTAGGGCCTGAAGTAATTGGTGACATGAAAAAGGCCTCAGAGTGTCCACTTTGTTTCAAAGACTGAGAGTCTTTATAAATATTTCCCAGTTCTCAAAATGATTTTCTGTCTTCAGATCTACCTGAGACTCCTCTCATAGGAACTCATGTCCAGTCTCGCCTGGTCTGATCTGTCTCCAGTCTCCTCGGCCACCCTTCACACTCACCGGAGTAGACAGTGCTGCTCCCTGGGTGTCCCGTGTCCTTCCAATTCAGCATTGTTTCTCGTGCTATGCCTGTTATTATCTTCACCCCCCATCTGTCTGCCTGGGAAATCTTTACCCGTAGGTGAGGGAAGTGCCTCACCTCATCTCATTCCCACTTAACATTGGGGCCCCACCCCTGGAAGACACTCTCCTGGGCTCTCCCTGCCTTCTACTCACTCCTCACAGTGGAGGGGAGTTACTTACCTGCTGGATGAGTTTGGGAGAAGGGACTTGCAAACCTTCCTGGGCTCTCCTTGGGAGAGATTTGTGCCCCCAGGTCCAGCCTCGTGTCTGCTGTCCAGCGATGCACTTGGCTTGCGCTTGCTCTGCTGGGACAGACGGTGGTTTTTGGGGTCTGGGAGTCGGGTCACATCATGGACAGTGAGGAGTTAGCTTGTTCACCTGGCCCAGGTTCACAGCCATGCTCTCAGTGGGGCTTCAGCGGGAATGATGCTGACTCCAGCACTGTCATTTCAGCTCAGCTCTGTCATTTCCTCACTGTCCCCGATGGCCCTCTCTTCTTGCCACACCATGAGCAGAAGGCAGGGTCACTCACCGCTGATAGGGTCATCTCGACCCTGAGCTGGTCCAGGGCTGCATCCCCATTATATGCAGGACCTCGCAAGCCTTGGGCACTAGTGTGTGTGAGTGTGTGTGTGTGTGTATGTGTTGAGTTGCATGGACTGGAGTTAATGTGTAACTGTTGAGGCTGCATGTAAACATTGAAAGATCAGTTGGGACCTCAAAGCATGGTTTGATCATGGGGGTGGGTGGTGCTCTGCAAGAAGGAAAAACCAGAAAGAACAGGGAAAACAATGGTGGTGGACCCCAACTCCAGGGAGCTGTGGAGAGGGTCCTGAAGAGAGGTGACCAAGGACTGTATTGGGCATTGAGGCTGGAAATAGGGCCACCCAAAATCCCTCAAAAATCAAGCCTCTGAGGTACAAAGAAAGAACAGTTTAGATAAAGGATTGGAAAAGGAATACCTGGGTTTCAGGTAGCTGCCAGACAGGATTTTGGGCAGCAAAGGGACGTTGAGGTTCTGGCAGCCCTGGGAAATGGATGTAGCTTGGGGGATCCCTCAAGAGACCTGTTGTCCTAGAAGCACATCAAGTCGCAGCTAGGCCCCTGAGACCACTGCCCTTGTAACACTTGGCCGGGGCCCACGACTTAGCATCTGTGTGATCAGCTCGGTGTCTTCCTCCACATAGGGGATACGCGACAAAGCACGTCGTGGAAGGTCTAGAGCCCAGGACGCTCTACCGGTTTCGACTGAAGGTCACCAGCCCCTCTGGAGAATACCAGTACAGCCCAGTCGTCATGGTGTCCACGACCAGTGAGTATCTTAAAGCCCCTCAGGATGAATGAGGGTGACGAGCTGCCCAGGGCCAAGTCTTGCTTTGACGTGGCAGTGCTGGATTAAAGCTGTTCCATTTTTAAACACTGTGATGAGATAGCTTCCCGGGTAGGTCTTGCCACCACACAAGGGGACTCTAATTGCGCTTCAGTGAATGACGAGAGCCAGGGTTGTCATGTTACATAGTGTCCGTTTGGGACACGAGGGTAGAGTCGCTTTGCTTAGGAAATGGGCCAAAGGGGTGTGGCCAGATGAGCGTCTCCATGTGAGGAGTCAGGCCACCTGTTTGGTTGGCTTTAGGTGAGGAGGATTATGTAGGATTTTGTCCCTTTTGGATGACTTCACTACATGCGGCATGACACGACACACATGTCTGATTCCCGGGGATACTGGGAGGAAGGCAGGATTCCCGTTAATTCTTCCACTCAAGACAAAACCTGGCAGAGGGGAGAGAGCCCCACAGGGGGGTGATATTCAGAAGAGGCTGCCCACAGAGCCCCTGAGCAGACCTCACACCAGTTCATTTACAGGGTGCAAGTATTTTCCGTAACCTGCATTTTAAAAGATCTTAAAGATATTTGTGTCCACTTTGTGTCCATTTTTGAGATGGAATGTTGGAAAGACTCAAATGGCCAGGAAGATCCCTGCTGAGCGCCCCTGCAGGTGTTGACCAGTCCATTTTGGGTGCACAGTGGAAAGCTTCCTCGAACAAGTAAAAACATCTGAAAGTTCTGTTGAGTGTGGTGTTTGGCTTGCATCTTGCATGTATTTTCTGTGGATTCCAGTTGTCTCGTAGGCCTGTGTGCACGGAAATTTTGCTGTGGATTAGAGATGATTCCGATTTTGCATTAGCCCATAACATCTTCAGTCGGAAAACAGGGCATTAGGGGATGGGGTCTCAGTTTAGCAAACTGAGAATGTTGAGTTAGAGCTGAGAGTGCGGCTCTCAACCCTCCCAGGTGATGCTCCACCCAGGAAGTGGTCAGAGAAGAGTTCTGACGAGGCCGGTTAAATGAGGGCAATGCAGATCAGAAAAGAGGGCTCTTTCTCACCATGACTTTCGGGAGTTTTGATGCTAAGGGAAAGAGGCCAACCAGCAGAAGCTGAGTGAGTTCTTTGTGTGTTGAGGACGCCCAGGTGAGGGTCATGTGTCTGGGCAGGCTCTTAGCTCTGCCGGGGAGCTACTGCTCTCCTAGGCTATTGTCTCATTTATCGTTTCCAAAGCGGCCCCCTTAAGGAGGCAGAGCACGCTGAACAAAGACTTATAAATACACACGTTCAACAAAACAAGGGAAGAGCTGCTGTGGGCCGATCATTTGCGTTGGTTTGAAAGTGTTTTAATGAATCATAGAGGCATGTACTTTGTTTGAATAGAGGATGTTCTGCCTTTAAAATTCGTTCTTACTTCCAGGTAAAGTCCAGGAGACTATTGCTTAAACTAGACATGCAGTTTTAATCAGTGGGGCCTTGAAAGAAAGAAAAACAGCTGCTGCTTATTAATTGGCAAATATCTTCCCCCAGTGAGCTCAGCATTTATTCACAACTTTGATAGAGATTTAAAGGCCACCCAGGGAGCTGTTCTCACGATACCATCCGCTGCCGCACATCTGAGCGCAGCGGCCTCTTAGCGGAACAATGCTTCCCGTGGACCACTCTGCCCTCACGTGGTGCTGGGATGTGGGTGTCCCCCTCACCGCTGAGCCCCACCCAGGGTAGCAGGCCTTCCCCGGCGTCTGTGTGTGGGCACCTCCCGCAGGCAGGGCCGTTTAATGCTTGGAATTGTAGCGCTCAGGGTGACTCTAGAAGCACAAATGCACAGAGGGACGGTGCTGCCGTTTCTGTGTGGCGTTGCACTCCTCGATGGCAGTGCCTTGGGCTGGGCCCGCAGTCTCGGAGGACTTGGGCAGGAGGAGAGGAGCGTCCTGTCCGCTCTGGCGTTTGCCGTGTTCCTTGTGCCGCCTCCTGTAGCGGGCAGAGGAGGGAGAGCTGTGTGCCAGGACACGGGGCTCTCCGCTTGTTTTCCTCCTCTGCTCGTGCCGGCCGTGGGGCGTTGTGGGCCTGAGCTGATCCGGGTGTTCCCGTGCTCCTCCTCGGTGCCTGGGGCCTGGGCGTGGGGTGAGGAGGACTCCCAAGTTAATGCCGAGAAAGGCGCCCCCCGCGTGGCTTCCTTTTGCTGAGGTTCAGCAAGCAGGGAATGATGACCATGTCTGCTGCTTCCCCCTCTGTGAGGAAGTCACCTTTGTCCTCAGTGATTCGAGCGCCGGTTATCTCTTACAGAAGTAGGAACAGGCAAAATGTTTATTTGAATTAGATCACAATATCAAAATGCCCCAGTCTTTGAGGCAAACAGTCCTCTAGTGGTAAGCACGTGGTGAGTTCACCCCGTTTTCTGATCTGCATGCTGCAGAGCTTCCTGGTAGGGTGGCTGGGAGCAGTGCCCTGTGGGGGAGCCTTGCCAGGCAGCTAGGACCAGGGCATGGGATGCAGGTGGTCGGGGCAGAAACAGGGTTTAGAAAGCCCCTTAAAATCCCAGAAGGCAGCACTTTGCTGAAGTTGCGTGGGCATCCCCTTTCATTAAGCAGGCTGGGGGTGCCGGAGGTATTTTTATTTAAAATGTTTGTTGGTATTCAGAATGTAAAGAAAATGGAAGCCCCTAGTGAATTGGTCAGCATCGTCAATTAAACCATCAACAGAGAGGCGTGTCCCCTCCAAGCAGCGTGGCCTTGAGCGCTGGTGCTGCCTGGTACTAGCTGCTCTGGTACTAGCTGCTCTGGTACTAGCTGCTCTGGTACTAGCTGCTCTGGTACTAGCTGCTCTGGTACTAGCTGCTCTGGTACTAGCTGCCTGGTACTAGCTGC